ATATGTAGTACATAGTCAGGTACCTTTGCTTTGTTAAAAGGGACTGTTACATAAATTGGATTGTGAAAAATTACTGAATATATGGAATTATTTCTCCTTTGGATCTAGTCAACTGAGTATTTCTTTCTTGGTCATCATTAAGATGTGGAAATAGATTTGTTACATATCATTTGTGGAGTTTGAGCTAAGGTGGAAGTTTCACCTGGATTCTGCATTGTCTTTGTGTAAAGGGAAGGGAGTCTAGTTGGTTCTCCACTGTCTTTCCACTACTCTTAGAACGTGTGATGGCAGTTTCGCAGTCTAGTAATTTATAGCTTACATTTTAAAAAATTCTATCACATTTTAGAGATTAGGTTCTTTGTGTCAACTACGGAAATGAATTGATTGGAAACCAAGGTTTGACCATCTGAGATAGGAATTATATATAGACACTTTTTTTTTTATCCTTACCCGAGGACATTTTTGCATTTTATCTTCAGATAGAGCAGGAAGGAGAGAGGGAGGAAGAGAGAGAAACACTGATGTGAGAGAGACACATCAACTGGCTGCCACCCATACAACCCCATGGAGCCGGGGACAAACTGCAACTTAGGTACGTGCCCTTAGTGGGAACCGAAGCCAGTACTCTCTAGTCTGTGGGCCGATGCTGAGCAAACCGCCAGGGTCAGGCACATTTTTATTTATAGGGTTGGCTCTCACTCAAGACAATTGAGAAAGCTACATTGTGTGTGTGTGTGATGATGGAAGGAGGAGGAAGATGAGTATTTTAGCCTGGCACTAAGCAGACCTTGGCTGCCTTTATACAAACTTAGGTTTCATTCAAAAGACTGACTTGCTCTCTCCGCCCACTTCCTTTGTTTACTAAGAGATTATACTAAATCAGTGAAGAAAAGGTAGAAAATTTAAATAAGCAGAAGAAAAAAATGGGTAATTCTATGTCTCAGAGAAAAACATTATTAACATTTAAATTTATTTAGTTTCAGATTTTTTTCTTCATATATTCAAGTCTAAAACAAAAATGGCATTATATAAGCCATACTTTCTGTAAATGGCTTCATTCAGTCATCATGTACTCTGACTATCTTTTACACCAGTAATATATTTCTACAACTTCTGATGATCTGTTTTCTTCTAATTATAGAAATAATGTGTGCTTATTGAAAAAAGTTCTTAAGGATTACAGAAATATGTAACAGAAAAGAAGTTTCCACATAAGCCATTTAATCATTTATGCAGTAGTACTTTTTAACATTTATTTAGTATTCTGTTAGATGCATATATTATACTGAGCTAATCAGTGAGTCTTCCATCTAGGAATGAATTGGAAACTATAATAAACCACACTGCTGTATACATCTTCATACATACATTTTGGTATAATTGCCCCATTATCTCATGAGACTAAATTCCTATAAATGTATGTGCTGGTTAAAGTGCATCTACATTTTAGTTCAGGTTGTTTGTTTGTTTGTTTGTTTTTTTCAAGTACTGCTAAATTCATCTAAAAAAGTGATACTAATTTATTCTTTGACTGACATTGGGGAATGTTTACTTTTTAAAAATGTTTTTATTTATTGATTTGAGAGAGAGAGAGAGAGAAACATCGATTTGTTCCACTTAATTATGCAGAGAATGTTTGCTTTCTAATATTGTTTTGTTCCTTAAGAAATAATTTTTACCAGTTCAGTAGGTGAAAAATATTTAATTTGAAGTTATTGTTAATTGTTATTAGGTAAGTTTAATTTTTATCTTCACAAGGTTTTGGCCATGTATATTCCTTTGTGAACTACTTGTTTGCATATTAAAAAAAAATTTTTTTTTCTTTATTGATTTTAAAGAGAGAGGAAGGGAGAGGGAGAGAGAGAGAGAACATTGATTGACTGCCTCTTGCATGCCCCACACTGGGGATTTGTCCCACAGCCTGGGCATGTGCCCTGACTGGGAATTGAACTGGTGACCCCCTGGTGCATGGCTCAACACTCAATCACTGAGCCACACTGGTCTGGCTGTTTGCACATTTTAAAAATGGAAGTGTCCCTGGCTGAATTGGCTTGGCGGTTAGAGCGTCAGTCTGCATACCGAAGGGTTGCAGGTTTAATTTCCAGTAAAGGGCATGTACCTGGCTTGCAGGTTTGATCCCTGGCCTCAGTTGTACGGGAGGCAACTGATCGATCTCTCTCACACTGATGTTGCCCCCCCATCTGAAAAATCAATGGAAAAATATCGTTGGGTGAGGATTAAAAAAAAAAAGGAAGTGTTTATCTTTCTCTGTAAACTTAAGTATTTTAGTTTAAGTATGATTTAGCAGATGCCTTAGTCCCTTTTGAGCTAGAACAAGCCATACCTAAAGAATTCACTCAAGTGGCATACCATGCAAAGGTCTGTATTGACCTGGGAGCCAGAAAGTGCCGGCACAGACTGTATTGTTATCCCCAGGTTGACGAGTAGACTCCTGATGCCTCTCTCTAGCTGCTTGAAAACTTCGTGCGGTTTTCCAGCCTCATCTCGGTCTGGTGGCTGTCTGGAGCTGTGTCAGGATGTGGGTTGAGAGTGAGTGGATTATTGCCATCCATTGTGAGAAGTCAAAACAAGACTTTTATCCAAAAGTTAGTAAAACGTAACTAATGTAGACTGACAGTGTTAAAGGACCAACTACTCCATTTCCCTTATTTTTATCATGCTGAAAAATATGACAAAAATATCTCTTAAACATTTGAAAGTAAAGTAGCTTATGTTATTTTGGTGTATAAAGTTTAACATTTGCACTGTGATGCTGTCTCTTCATAACATACCATTTGGGGGCTACTCTTTCTCTTTGTTTTAAAGGGAGAGGAGTGTCTGTGTGCACGCATGTGTGTGTACTGAGGGTGAGTGTGACAGTGAGTTTGAAAACGAGTCTGATGTGACAAAGATAACCTCTCTTTAGAATGGTGCAGATAGATGTTTTCGTAAACACCTAATTTTTGAATAAACTCACTGAGGGTACTTAAAGGATAGTGAAAATATTCTTGGCACTTAATGGTGATTAAATCAATTGCAAAGCATCTTCTAGCATGGTTCCTGTCACATAGTAGGTGCTCATTAAATGATGGCAGTTATACGTTTGTATATAATGGAATCTGTTCATTCATCCTATAGTCATTTATTGAGAGCCTACTCTTTGCCAGGTACTGGTCAAGGTATCGGAGGTAGTGCAGGGAATGAAAAGGCGAAATGTCTTCTCCTGGAGCTAATGCTCTGCTGTGAGGAGATAGTCACTAAGTAAGAGAAGTACGTAGATGATCTCATACTTTATTTATTTATTTATTTTTTATCCTCACCCGAGGACACTTTTTTTTCATTCTTTGTTCAGATAGAGCAGGAGGGAGAGAGAGAGAGAGAAACATCGATGTGAAAGGGACACATCGAGTGGCTGCCACCCGCACGACCAACCAGGGCCGGGGACAAATTGCAACCGAGGTACATGCCCTTAGCGGGAACCAAACCCAGGTCTCTCTGGACCGCAGGCCGACGCTCTAACCGCTGAGCCAAACCGGCCAGGGCGATGATCTCATACTTTAAAAGAGCATAAGTGCTATGAAGAAAAACAAATCAAAGGGGCTGCCTGAGCTGCTGATGGGAAGAGAAGGATTTGCAGTTCTAACTAGGATGGTCAGGGAAGGGAAGGATAGGTAGAGGTCAAGCAGACCTGGAGTTAAGGCCATCTTTACTATTAATTGGGCAACTTGGGGAAAATTAACTTTTGATCTTCAATGTTGATGTGTTAGAAAAGCATAATAATGAGTCTGCTGCATGGGGATAAACGAAATAATATGGAAAACATGTAGCGTTATGCCTGACACCTAACTCCCAAGAGAAAGGAAGTAGGCCAGTGTCCAGTAAGGTGGGCGCTGCCCCCGGTTGTCAGGCTCGGGGACACAGGCATGCCCAGAGCGCAGAGCGGGAGCTCTGTTCTAGGAAGAAGCCTGCAGTGAAGGAGAGTGTTCGTGTGGGTGGGAGAGCAAAGAAGAAATGAGCGCTGGGGTCTCGGCTGTGTGTGTTCAGGAAGAAATGGAAGCATCGAGGTTCTTTCCCTCCTTCCTGAAGAGAAAGTGAAAAACTCCTTTCGTTTGCCTTGTTTTTGACAGGTCTGTTACCAGTTGATTCTGTAATTTCATTTCAGTGCCTAATCAAGTGTTTTACAGTCTAGTTTGGGGGAAGTAAAACATGTATATATGTACATACAAAGATAAAGTTAAAAATAGTTGCTGAATAGAATTTCTTTGAAAGGAAGGAATGTGAAGTGCTGGAAGGATCTGGGCAAAGGAATGGCTGAGATGGGATGATCAGGCAAAGCTGCTTGCAAGAGGAGGTTCATCTGACTCTGGAAAGTGGGCTTGGGGTTTTGATCTTTTTTTTGAAGGACCCTGATAGCTCCTAGAGTGCTATTCTATAGCACCTCAGCCCTGACAAGGTGCCCTGGATAAGGAAGGGTTTAGGGTGAACTGAGTTTGCAACAGCATCATACCCTGTCACCCACGTGTAGCTGAACACTACCTGTTTCCTCACTGAGGTTCCTGTCAGCCCCGCAGTGAAGGGACCTGCTGGAGCCTTTGGGACTGGGCCGCGTGCACAGCAGCCTAGCAAGCCCAGGGTTTGGGTGCTGCCAGCTCATTCTTGCAACTCCATCTTCAGGGAAAAGAGCTGTTACTTGTCTTTGTGTGCGTATTTGCAAAGCGTTTGGAGACCATTCAGCACATTTACTATAGCTCTCCAAGTTTAGGAGAAAACAGTTACTCAGACAAGCCCAGACAGAAAAATAGCTAATAAGGATTACACAGTTTTGGGTCTCAGTTTTCATCTTCTATTTTTCTTTCTTCTGTTGCTTATTTATTTTGTTTCCGAGAATTGCTTTACAGAGTATTTACATATAATGAAAAAGAATTGTCTTAAAAGTTGAAAATGGAACCATTTGAAAGATACTGCCATTTTTAAAAGGGTATTTTCTTTCTCCTCCCAAGGTGTATTACCCAAACTTGGGATGGATGTGCATTGACGCCACCGATCCAGAGAAGGGGAACTGGCTGCGATATGTGAATTGGGCTTGCTCAGGAGAAGAGCAAAATTTATTTCCACTGGAAATCAACAGGGCTATTTACTACAAAACTTTAAAGGTAAGAGTGTTAGAATTAGTCTCTGTTAGTTACTTTGCTTGCATTTTTGCAAGTACTGTCCTTAGCTGTGACTGACAGTAACAACTTTGCAGATCTTAGGATTCAGTGGTTCATCAACACATTGAAAGGTCTGTGTTTTTTAATTATAATTTTTTTAATCTTCACCTGAGGATATTTTTCCATTATTATTTTTAGAGACAGTGGGAGGGAGGGAGAGAGGGAGGAACGGCTATGTGAGAGAAACACATCAGTAGGTTGCCTCCTGTACCACCCCGACTGGAGCTGGGGATCGAACCCGCAACTGAGGTATGTGCCCTTGACAGGGAATTGAACTCAAGACTCTTTGGTCTGCGGGCTGACGCTCTAACTGCTGAGCCAAACCAGCCAGGGCTAAAGGTCTGTGTTGTAAATAATCCAGTTGCCACTGCTTCACATGCGAAAGGGCACGAAAGTGTGAAGATCATGTTCAGTAACTACATGCTGCATCTTTCTAGATACTGATGAGTTAGTGTGTGGCAGCTGCTTCCCTCCTCCTCAGATACAGATGCATCAGGAGCTGTCTGACAGGCTGATTCATCTAACTGGAGGAAACAACCAATGGCTATGGTCGTTCTCTGCTAACTGAAAACAGTCTAGGTCTTCAGTGTATTGCAGCCTTGGATTAGCTTTCCCCTAAATTGTATTCAGAATGGGAATTAAACAGGACATGTTTCTTCCTCTTCCAATTTTTTTTCATTAATTAATTTTTGTTACAGATATTTCTCCTTTCCCCCCCACTGATAACCCCCTCCCTTCCCTGTCCCCAGCTTTGTTGTCCATGTCCATTGTTCATGCATACATGCATATAAGTTCTGTGGTTTATCTCCCCAACACCCCCTATTCTGGGGATTGTCAGTCTGTACCCCACTTACACGTCTCTGGGACTACCCCGTTCCTCAGACTGTTATGTTCATTATATTCCACAAATAAGTGAGATCATGTGATATTAGTCTTTCTCTGCTTGGCTTGTTTTGCTTAGATAATACTCTCCAGGTCCCTCCATGTCGTCTCAAAGGATAAGAGTCTTTCTTTCTTAAGCTGCATAGTACCCCATTGTGTGTATGTACCATAGGTTTTTTATCCATTTGTCTACTGATGGACATTTGGGCTGTTTCCAGATCTTAGCTATTGTAAATAGTGCTGCTATGAACATGGGGGTACATATATTCTTTCTGACTGGTGTTTCAGGCTTCTTAGGGTATATTCCTAGAAGTGGGATCACTGGATCAAATGGCAGTTCAATTTTTAATTTTTTGAGGTAACACCATACTGTTTTCCATCGTGGCTGCACCAATCTGCATTCCCACCAGCAGTGCACTAGAGTCCCCTTTTCTCCACACCTCGCCAACACTTGTTTGGTAATTTGTTGATGGCAGCCATTTTGACAGGTGTGAGGTGATACCTCATTGTTCCTCTTCCAAATTTTTATTCAGAGCATTCATTGTTGAGATGACAAGAAGAGTAAAGTCATTTTTTAGGGTTTGCAGTGAGGCCAGAGGTCACTGAGGACATTCTGGGAAGTTAGTATTAGGAAGCATAGAGTGTTTCTGCATTTCTGCAACAAGCCCCTGCCACGTTCTCTCTGAACGCGAACCTGCATGCATCGTGCATGGACATGTTCTTGAAGGTGTTGTCTTGGGGCTCTAAAGAGAGACGATTGTTGCTTTGTGGAATAGGTACGTTTGCTAAAGTTGCTGTAAGGCAAATTTCTCTTTATTCACTGACTTCCATTAAAAATGTCATGATTGGGGGATAGTCCATGAAAAAATGATCTCCACTGAATTGAAAACTCTATTGAGCAAGTATTTAAGGTGATGGCCAGCTTTGCAGCAGGCTGGGTTTTACCTGTCTGGTAGCACTGGGGCTTCTGGAAGTTTAGTGAGCATATCGCTGCGTAATTTTCCTGTCATCTTTAGCTAGTTGGACTGCCGTCTGGCTCATACTTACCCACAGCTTTGCTTGCGATCCCTGCAGGAACTATATTTTTGTTGAACTTTTAAAATTGATACTTCTCTCTCTTTTTTTCTTTTTTCTTTTTTGCTGTATTGTAATAGCATGATTTTCTAGTAGGTATTACCATACAATTTTGTTTCACTGGAATTTGAAATTAGATTCAAGAATTCATTGTGTTTCTCAGATTTATTTAAAGTGAGAGTTCTATCTGATTGACTCAGTGAGGTAGAATTTTGGTGGAGATGAAATGCCAGCAAGGGGGTGAATCAGAGACAATCAGGGGAGTAGAAATGAGGTCCCAAGGGAGAGCAAGCCCAGGGACGTAGTCGGACATTTCAAAGTTCCTTCATGAGACTATCTGTCTCTGATAGCATGTCCGAGGAACATTGATAATAAAAGAGAGTATTTGGGAGAGCCAGACTTCTGGGTTAGATCCTGGTTTGCTGTATGAGCTGAGGCAAGTCATTGTAACTTTACCAGCCATGTAACCATAGGCAAGTTACCTTGTGCCTCAGTTCCCTTATTTGTAAGGTATAGATAATAATTGTATTGACTTCATAGGGTGATCATGGTGATTTCATAGGTGATTATGGGTAGAGCTCTAGTGTCTAATAAGTGCTGAATAAAGGTAGTTGCTGTTTTTGGAGAGGCGATACAATGTCATGGTTAGGGGTGGGGACTACAGCAGACTGCCTTGTGAGCAGGTTTTGGCTTCTAGATGTGACCCTGAGAAGTTAATTAAATGTTCTGTGTCTTTGTTTTTTTCATCAGTAAAAATGGAGGTAATAGTAAAATTAATATATACAGTTGTTGCGAAGATTAAACAAGATGGTATGGGTAAGGTTCTGTGAAGTGTTCCTAGCCCAACCCAAGTACTCAAAGTTGTTAACTAGCTATACTGCTACTACTATTTTTCCCTATCTCCATCTGGACTAACATGGCTCTGATCTTTGCAGACCTCCCCAGTCCTGACCTGTGATGTTTGCTCAGGTGTGCACAGGACCTTTCAGGGTTCTTCCCAGGTGCTCTAACTGTGATCAGGCTCTCTGGGCTAGATTTTGTAAATAGATTACATGTGATGCTCTTCTGGGCTGGGCATCACCTTCTCAGCTATCACCCAGATAACTAAAATCCCCAACGCTGGCTTTGTTTGTAATACAATTAAAAAATATTTTTATAAAAATATTTGTCAAAGTTGACTGTTAGCCTGTTATCCATTCATTCTTTACTTCATTAGTTTGACAAATATGTATTGTCTAGTATGTCCTAGGTATTCTTCTATAGTAGTGAACCAGATAGATAAGATCTCTGGTCTCATGGAACTTCCAATTTATGGGCAGATAATAAGCAAATGAATAAGTAAACAAAATAATTTTAGATTGTGACGAATGCTTTGAAGACAATAAAATGTGATTGAGACTAGGTAGGTTGAGGGCTGCCTTAGCTCTGGTGCGTCAGGGGAGACATGACGTAATCAGCTTCCCCACTGGCATCATGGCCAGCCACACGAAGATCCTCCGGAAGAGCCGTCCGGGAAGAGAGGTCCTGACAGAAGCAGAGACCTTGAAGTAGGAATAAGCTAGATTTTTATTTTAAAGACTAGAACAAAAGCCAATGTGGCTGGAGCAAGGGAGATGGAGTGGGGCAAGGGGAAGAATGGTAAGTGAGGCTGGTGAGGTGGGCAGGGCCAGATCAGGTGGGGTGGAGTGGTTACAAAGGAGAAAGGAGTGCAAGCTTTCAGTCTGCAATTCAGTTCACCCATTCGAGGGTTGAGGCTCCTGACTTCCGACGTGTGACTTTTAAGAGGTCATATTGGGGCCCTGGCCAATTTGGTTCAGTGATTAGAGCATCAGCCTGTGGTCCAGAGAGACCCAGGTTCATCAGCCCGCTAAGGGCACGTACCTCGGTTGCAGTTTGTCCCCAGTCTGGTTGGGGTCGTGTGGGTGGCAGCCACTCGATGTCTCTCTCACATCAATGTTTCTCCCCCCCCCCCTATTCTATCTGAACAAAAAATGGAAAAATGTCCTTGGGTGAGGATAAAAAAAAAAAGAGGTCACGTTGGGGACTAGACGGCAGGGAAAGCATGGGCTTGCTGTGTGTATTCCTGTAATTCAGATGTTCAGATGTTTTGTTTTGATGTAGTGTCAGGCATATTTTTTGGAACCCTTGCCTTTTCCTATTTGGCATGTTAAAATTTCAAGTTTATGTTTACTGGTATTTAGAGAAGAGAGTCTGCTTGGTTTTGTAAGCCTGTCAGAACCCAGAGAAAAACTTTGAAGAGTTTAACATCTTTCTGTTTTTCTGGTTGTTTTTTGTTAAACATCAAAATTCAATATATAAAAAAGAGGTGGTTCGGACTTTTAACTTTTATGTATTTTTTTTTATCCTCATTTGAGGACATTTTTCCATTTTTTGTTCAGCTAGAGTAGGAGTGTGTGAGAGAGAGAGAAACATTGACATGAAAGGGACACATCGAGTGGTTGCCACCTGCACAACCCAACCAGAGCCGGGGACAAACTGCAACTGAGGTACCCTTAGCGGGAACCGAACCCGGGTCTCTGGACTGCAGGCCAGTGCTCTAACCGCTGAGCCAAACTGGTCAGGGCAGGGCTGTATTTTTCTTAATGTGGGTTTATATTTCCTATGTTTAGAGCAAAAATTTTCTTTTATTCTGAAGTTTGACTTACAAAATCTTAAAAATGTGCTAAGCAATAAAGAAGAAAAAATAGTACAGAAGCATCAACTATTGATTTAGAAAGAGATAAATTATTTTTCTCTCATGATGGGCTGTTATTTGTGTAGCTGGTAATATGAAGTTGGGGGTATGTAGCTCAATAATATAATAATCACCTCAGTTGGTAACAGTTTTGAAGATTATTCTGTAGCTAACAAATGACGTTGCTTTTTTTTTTTTAAATTTTTTCTTTATTGATTTTAGAGAGATCAGGGGAGATCAGAAGGGAAAGGGGGAGAGAGAGAGAGAAACATCGATGAGAGAGAACATCAATTGGCCGCCTCCTGCATGCCCCCCACTGGGGATCGGGCCCACAACCTAGGCATGTACCCGGGCTGGGAATCGAACCGGCGACCTCTTGGTGCATGGGTCAACGCTCAACTACTGAGCCACACCAGCTGGGCGAAATCAAATCACGTTGCTTTTAATCTAGCTATTCACCAGCTCATTAGCCCTGTAGAAATTTTGTATTGGATTGAGGTAAAAATAGATTCTGGCATGTTGTCATATTGTGTGTTTTGAAGTAAAGAGTTTGTGCTGATATTTAACATAACCCAGTTGCTAGCACAGGTGGCACGGGTGGTACTCTTCAGAAGACAGGAGTGGAATAGCTATGGAAGCTTTAAGCTCTGAGTTGAGATCGTGCCTGGAAAATGTCCAGCGGGTGTCTTCACCCAGTGTTCTGGTTATGCTGTTTGGGTTAGGAATAAATTGGGACTGCATTTTTTCTTTTCTCCATGTTCTTTTTAAAAAAATCCTCACCTGAGGATATTTTTCCATTTATCTCCAGATAGATTGGGGGGGGGGGGGCATCTATGTGAGAGAGACCCATTGATTGGCTGCCTCCCGCATGACCCCGACCGGGGCTGGGAACTGAACCACACCGAGGTACGTGCCCTTGACCAGAATCGAACTCAAGACTCTGGTCCATGGGCCAACGTTCTTAACTGCTGAGCCAAACCGGCCAGGGCTCCATGTACTTTTTTTTTTTTATCCTCATCTGAGGACATTTTTCCACTTTTTGCACAGATAGAGTGGGAGGGAGAGAGAGGAAGAGAGAGAGAGAGAAACATCGACGTGAAAGGGACACATCGAGTGGCTGCCACCCGCACGACCAACCAGGGCCGGGGACAAACCGCAACCGAGATACATGCCCCCAGCGGGAACCGAACCCGGGTCTCTCCAGACCGCAGGCGGACGCTCTAACCGCTGAGCCAAACCGGCCAGGGCTCCATGTACTTTTTTACTTTGGTTTTATTTTAAGTCTTTACACATTTCAAATGTTTTGTGATACCACCATTTCATGAATATGTGACCTAACAAAAAATAGAGACACAAACTATACATTTGGAACTATGAATGGTTTATTTAAATAAAAAAGCCTGTTCCTTCAACAGAAACAGATGAGTTCATCAGAATGCCAAAAGGTATCTGTAATGGCTATTTTAACTCATAAAATCTCATATATTTTAACTCATTAAAATCTTATTGATATGAGGTTAGTGGTTTTTGGGTTTTGTTTTGGTTTATGTTTACCAGACTCAAGAAGGGAAATAATAGTACATTAAGATAAGAAAATGGCAGGTTTAAACCATCCTTGGGGGAGCAAAGGAAACAGTGGCTTGTTTTTATTTTAAAGAATTTAGAATATTTAAAGATGTGAACTTATATAAACAGTGAGTTTTGCAGAGAATGAAACAAAATAATAGTTACTTTCAAGAGCATTATCTAGAAGGTATGTTCAAGTTAGAACTGTGTTGTTTCTAAACTGACATTTTAGGTGGAATTCCCTCTGCTCCTGTAAGCAAGGACACCCTCTTCCATAATCATAGTGCAGTGATCAAAATCAGGAGCTAATAAGGTGTATTATTAGCTAATCTACATACCTTATTATTTTTCCCAATTGTTCCAATTATGTCCTTATGGAAAAGAAAACTTATTTGCATTCAGTTATATAATATCTTTTATCAGTCTCCTTAGTTTGGACAGTATCTCAGTCTTTGATTTTATAACTTCAGTTTTGAGATACCTGGTCAGTTATTTTGTAGAATGTCCCTTAGTTTGGGCTTCTCTTGTGTTACATCATGATTAAATTACATTTATTCATGTTGGACAGAAATCTCCAGAAGTGACGCTGTGTTCTTTTCTGTGCATGGTTTCAGGAGGCACATATGTTTAATCTCATTATAAAGATATCATTTCTCCCTTTGTGATTAGTAAATGTTTTAGGGGAGGAGATATTTTGAGACTGTGCAAGTATTCTGTTACTCTTGAAACTTATAGCTACAAGTTTTAGCATCCATTGATGATTCTTGCCTGAATCATTATTACTGTGATGATTGCCAAGTAGTGATTTTCTAATTCCATTATTTCTTTTTAATTGAATTAATTGGGGTTACATTGGTTAATAAAATTATATAGGTTTCAAGTGTACAGCTTTGTAATACATCATCTGTATATTGTATTTTTTGTTCACCATCCAAAGTCTAGTCTCATTCCCTCACTATTTATCCCCCATTTACCCTCTTCTACTTGCCTCCATTATTTTTCATTGATTAGTTGGGATCTGCTTTAAGGAAGAGCTTTCCTTTTTCATTGATTTGTTCATTCATTTATATCAGTATGGACTCATTGATTCTTATTTTATTCATTTGGTTTTAGGTGGAATGTTACTTATGTTGATCCTCTTGGAAGTTTTTGAACAGATGAGTCATTGTGAGAGAAACCAGTAAGACATTTCCCTAAATTCTATTTAGGAGTGTCGTCTTTCCACTCGGTGTGTTTTTTCTTGAGGGTCTTATGCTAGGTGTAATCAGTACGTTGGTGGTATATGTCCTCACTAGTGACATTGCTGTTAAGAATTAATGTTTTAGGAGCGAAATACATGTGAGGTTATTTTTAGGCATTTCCTTGTAAAACTTAAGTTGTCATGTAAACTCGATGTGTGCTACAGAGGGCAAGAGGGTGAGTTCTCTGTGGACCTGAGCAGGTTAGTGGCAGTGCATAGATAATACACTGCCAGGGCGCTTGCGTGTCTGTCTTCTTTTAGCCTTTCCATGATATAATTAGGGGTGGCTAATAAATGTACTGTTGCATTTAGTTCTTCCTTATCATGCCTAACTTACTCTTGGAATCTGAACCGTGCACTGGTAATTAGATTCCAGCACTTCTCTTTCCAAGCCTCCTGGTTCTTTTTAATTGAGCTTTTAAAATTTCTTATTAGCTGGATTTCATGGACAAAATGGTTCCGGGTTTTGTTTTGTTTTTGTTTTTTCCTTCTGCGTGGGTAGTCGTGAGGCTTTGAACAGCAAGATTTCTCCGCATATGGCAGTTTTGAGTTTAAAGTGATCTCTCCTAGTCAGCTCCATAGACCGCCTTGCGGACCAGGGCGAGGAAGCGGGTGGGAAGTGAGGTCCTCCCTCCAGCAGAGGGTCCCTTCCCACAGCCGCCCAGCCCGCAGCCGCAGAGGGTTCTGGAGCCCTTCCTGCCGGGCTGGCCTCCGGCTCGCGGCCCCGCCCTGCCCCCCGCCCCACCAACAACCGCCGCTCTGATTGGCTAGGCGCCTGTCTCTTCTCTCCCCGCAGCCAATCGCGCCGGGCGAGGAGCTCCTGGTCTGGTACAATGGGGAAGACAACCCCGAGATAGCAGCTGCGATTGAGGAAGAGCGAGCCAGCGCCCGGAGCAAGCGGAGTTCCCCGAAAAGCAGGAAAGGTAGGAGCCTACCGCCGCCCGCTCCCCCGCCGCTCCCGGGCCAGCCGGATTCGGGCTGGGGCTGCGCCCGCAGCTCTTGGTGACCTTTTCCGGACCGGCCACCGGCCGGTGATCCGGTCCCCCCCCACCCCCCGCCCCCGGGCCACTGCTGAATCACGGCCCCGGACGCCGCTCGGGCTCTTTTCTAACTTGGGGCTGGGAATCCTGGCGTGGGAAAGTGCAAGGACCCCAGCGCTGTCCAAGGGCTGGTTGTCACTGCACTCACGGACATCAAAAAATCTGGACTTGCGGGCGGCAGCAGCAGCCGGTCCCTCCAGAGCGGTGCACTCCCGGTGTATTCTTAGCTTTTTGTGCTGTTTGCCAGCGAACGCGTCATAAAATGTGTTTCGATAGTGACATTTCCAGGTCCGCAGATTCGGTGGCCTCGTGTCCACACGGGACTGCAGTAGGGCCTGGCGCGCTGCGGCCCGGCCGCGGAGCTCGCGCACCCCGGAGGGCAGAGAGAGCTGCCGGCCATGCACTGCCACCCCACCCGGGCGGGATGGGTGCTGTCACTACACCACAGGGGGCTGGGCCCTGTCACTCCAGGCCACTCCGCCCCCCTTCTCCAGCCGGCGTCCACCGCGCTCCTCTCCCGGTGGGCCTGCCGCCCTTCTCCACCCCACTCCACGCAGCACTGCGCAAGATTGCCACACTCTCAGGGGTGGGCTAAGGTCTAAGCGCAGCAGATCTTCCCGAAATTAGGCCGTTAACAAAATGGAAGTTGAAGAGTGTGTTGTTTTGTCACTTTTGAAGCAACTCCAGTAGTTTTGTTTTATGATGTTTTCAAACCAAGTTGAAACGTAGTCAGCTTACAAAAGGGAGGGGATGATTTCCGGGTAGGAAAATAGCTTGGTTGGATATATCATATTTCTAGCTGGCATTTTGACACGTCTTTGAGATTTTTTTTTAAAAAGAAGAATTTTAATGTGAATTCGTGAATCTTCCATAGAGCCTAGTTTGAATATATGCCAAGGCACAATATGGCAGTTTCTTATTAATATAAAACTTTTTTTTAAGCTCACCTTATTCTTAAGTAAATTTTTGTAGTCATCTGAACTTGGGGGTCTACTCTTTTTACTCACTGCATTGCAGAGTGAGTTGTGAAAGTCTTACTGTAGATAAAATCAGAATATAAACCTGATTTTGGAAAAAGTAAAAATATTTAAAAATGTAGGCAAGAAGTCTTTTTTGATTTTTCCATTACATATTCTTTGTATTTCACAGTGTCATGAGAAAACAACTAACTCATCTAAGGAACAGTTTATGGGCCCTTTGCTAAGTGCATGTTCTGTATTTGCTGTATTTGTTGAACGTGATTTTGCTGATGTTTTAGGTCATTAAATACTTTGATTCAGAATCAGATGATCAGGGTCTATAAATGTCCCAGGTGTGTTTTTGTTTCATTTGTTTTCTTTTTTTTACTGTTTTAACTGGGTATTGAGATTTTGTTGACATTAGGCTTAATCTATAATTGTTTGCGAAGTGTTCACATAATTCAACTTGTTTCTTTATTTAGTATTCATTTTGTTTATAACTAATGTCACCCGCCTTTTCAGGTAAGTTGTGATTTGCAGGGGCTGGAATTTGGGGGGAAGGGGAAATGTTTACTCTGCTGCTAAGCATAACTAACTCATATATTTAAACATATTCCATAGCTGACTGGAAACGTCACTCGAAGGCTTTTCTGTTTGACATACTTTGGCGTGCATATTTAGAACATTTTATTACTTTCTGCTTTTTAAAATTTAGTCCTTAAAAAAATCTATTCATTTAGTTGGATTTGGGGAAATAAACTTTTGGTTTTGTTACTGAAACATGAACTTACACATCTTCATTTTCATATCTGCCTAAATTGCTGTGTTTTTTTTTATTTTTTTATCCTCACCCGAGGATATTTTTCCATTTTTTTTTGTACAGATAGAGTGGGAGGGAGAGAGAGGAAGGGAGAGAGAGAGAGAGAAACATCGATGTGAAAGGGACACATTGAGTGGCTGCCACCCGCACGACCGACCAGGGCCGGGGACAAACTGCAACCGAAGTACGTGCCCTTAGCGGGAACCGAACCCGGGTCTCTCCGGACTGCAGGCCGATGCTCTAACCGCTGAGCCAAACTGGCCAGGGCAAATTGCTGTGTTTTTATGTCGAGTTAAGTAGTTAACATTTCTTTTTATCCTGTTATTATTTTTATAACTTCTCAGGGCAGCATATAACCCACTGAATCTTAGTTAATTAAAATACTTGGGTGAGGCTCGCGCTTGGAACTTAGTCTGTTTTGAACAGCTTGCTGGTGAAGAGTCTTGTTTGAACTTTATGACCTAAAGTTTGGAGAGTTTAAATAATGAGTCAAGCTACTTTTTGTTTTTAAATTAAATACTCTGTGAAAGCTAATTTATAGCTTGCAAAGACCTGAAACGGAGAACTTTTTATATGAACTCAGTTCTATATAGGTCTTCTGTGTGAACCCCCGCCATTTTAATATCTTTTCAGGCAGTGATGTCAGTGAGTAATCAACATCAATGTCACTCAGTAGCAATGTTAAATTAGTATTTCTCAAAGCCAGATGTTGAAGACATGCAGCTGACAGGTAGATTGACAGTGGACCTAACTTCACTTCAATCATGAGGCGAGCAGAGAGAAACAAAGGGCTGGATTCTGCATAGTTCTGGGCCTCGGCTCCTGTGCATGACAGCTGCTGTGCCTACAGCTGTGCATGCATGTGGTGCCGTGCAGAGTTCACCAGATCGCTGGGGCCATGAGGCGTGTTCTGGGCAGTGAAAAGCCCTGATTCCTTTACATCCACAGTGGCCGCTTCTCTCTCCATCTGTGTCTCTGTCTCATTCCTTCATTCAGCTAATGTTTGTTAAGCCCTTGCTGTATGCCTGGCACTCTGCTGGGTAGTGAGTGAGCCAGAAAGAAGCAGTAACTCTTCTCATGGCGCCTGTAGTCTAGAGACAAACGTTAAATCAGTAAGCTGCTGATCAGTACCTAGATGGTTGGCATGGAATAGGCCCTCAATAAATATTCGTTGATTGGCAAACAAAGACACACACAAACCTGTAATGAAGGAAAAGAACACAGTGTGTGAGAACACAGTTCATATTGTCTCTGACCAAGGAGCATGCAGTTTTGCCATGGGCCAAAGATGTACACACCTTGGGCATTTTGAGCAAGAATTTGGATTGTCAGCTTTGTAATTCAGTCTTACATGTCTGAGCAGCCCCTGTAATGAGATTGAACACGAGAAAGCACTGAATGGGACAGATTAAACTCTTCAGGTACAGAGGAAGGGGAGGGTGTTATAGTGTCGGGTGTTTCCAGTTATTTTAATTTGAACCATAGGAAGGTTATAATCTGTGAAGTGACATGGAAGGGCCAAATTTGGGTGTATTTACCATCTTCTCCATCTCCGTCTCTTCTTTGTTAGTCTGAAAAATTGAATTTGCTTTGTTGGTAACAGTGACTTTTGGCAAACGTTCTTTTCGAATATAATAGAATATAATTGCAGAATGTGTTGTTGCCCTGCCCTCTTTTGGCTACATAGGAGCTCTACCTGAAGTTCCTTTCCCCTAAGTAAACAACAGGGGCTTTATACAGTTGGGCTTACTGGACGAGATGAAAAATGTAGAACCCTTGGATTTTTACTCTTTTTTACCATTTTTACCATCATGTCACCTCTCTGGGGCATAGTTTCCATCGCTTTAAAGGTAGGTGTCATAACACTGGATGGTCCTTTTGCTACTTAACCTCACGGGGTTACTGTCAAGAGCAAGTGAGATAATAAAAAGGAACAGCTCTGTGCAGGTTTGAGTCCTTGGTACTTGAAAGTGCTGCTGACAGAGTGAAGCTGACTGCTTGCTCCTTACGTGTTTCTCGCAAACGACTGAGTTTGTGACTCATTTAATTGATCAGTATTTATGGAGCATCTGTGGAAGCTCCAAATAAGCAGTGGGACTTGCGCCTCTTCCTTCCCAGGGCAGGGCCTCATCAGCCTATGCCAGTTCGCCCTTTTCGTAGGCCCAGTTCTGACCTGTTGACTTACCTGTTCACAGCAAATTAGGAGGAAATCAGAAAGGGGGAATTACTTATAGCAGCAAATAGTTTTATTGCTGATACTGGACAGTAAAGAAGACAAAATTTATAAGGAAACCAGTAATGAACAACAAACAGCGCAGTTCCTTAAGGTCACTTAGCAGGTTCGGGTAATCCTTTATAAAAACTGTAAATAGTCCCCAAGAGTATCAGCCAGTTTATAGTATTTATTTAGGTGACTTTTTTTTTTAATCCTCACCTGAGGACACTTTTACATTTATCTTCAGATAGAGCGGGGAGGAGAGAGGGAGGAAGAGAGAGACACATCAAGTAGCCGCCAACCACACGACCCCCAACTGGGGCCAGGGACAAACTGCAACTGAGGTACATGCCCCTAGCGGGACTCTCTGGTCCACGGGCCGACGCTCTAACCGCTGAGCAAAACTGGCCAGGGCTATTTAGGTGACTTTTAGTCACCACAGAACAGTTAAATTATAATCAGCTTAAAAAGGAAATATTTCTTCTGTCTGTACAATCACGGTTGTTCAAATAAAAAATCGTGGTACCATGACACACAGTTTTTTTTGACATTGTACATGTTTGAAGTTCTTTCTTCTCTAAAGGTGACAAAGCCTATAGAAATTTGTAGTCAGTTCAGGCAGGTAAGGAATCCACATGCACAATAACTTGATTGAGGTAGTAGAAAAAACAAAGTGCTAAACTAAAGGACTGTTGGCGTTGAGAGAAGGAAAAGGGAGCTCTGGGCTGGGGTGGCTGGGAGTCTTTATTTAGACAGGGTGGCAGGATGGGGGCATTTAAGAGCATAGAGCAGAGAGGACATGCAGAGGAGTCAAAGGACTGTGAGCAGGTCAGAGGCCTAGTATATGGATGGTCTCCCCTCAGTTATTTAGCAAGTTTGTCCTGTGTCT